ATCTGACACAGGTGATGCCAGCTGCATGAAACACTGCATATCCAATCTTTGATTTCCTGACTGACAGTCACTCAATTTCTATAGCTGATAAAGATTGTGATTGGCTACAGAGCATCTACAAGTAAGGTCAGGTGGAAGTGTGTTCTTAGAGAATGCATGCATCTATAAGATGATAAAGATCGGTTGCTATCCATCCTCAGATGACACGAATACCACACTTGTGATGCTTATACTTTTTCATTTGTTGGTACAACAGCTAGAAGGACTGGATGATTTATTCAAATATGCATCCGAGCACATGGAATTAAAATCCGATAAGTGGACTGATCTAAATGTTACAACATGAGAAAGAGAAGAATATATTAAGAGCAGTCTTCAGACAGATGGGTACGCCTCCTAATATAAATCAGAGCTTTTACCTTATTGGATGTCAATGCAATTGACACAAAATCTCTCATGTGATCTGGCCTAAATAATGGAGCTCAAGGCGATACATTTCATTGGGCTACATATAGTAGTATAGAAAATGTGTTACAATTTCTGGATTTGAACAACGAATATGTTACTACACACATGGAAAGAATCAGATAGATAGCATACCTGAATGTGTTTCACTAACAATCTTCCACTACTCTATATATCATCCATGCCAACATAGAGAAAGAGAAACATCTCACAAATGAATGACAATGTGGCGAAGGCGCCTGTTGTGCATACAATGGCATAAGCATCAGCAATGTTTAGATGTCAAATGATGGTGTCACATGTATTTCTGATACAAATAGTGTAGATACCAACTTAGTTGTGACCCTGGAACTCTCTGTTACTTAGTGCCAGTAATAATGCGACATTACAACGTGAGAATACCACACTAATCAAGCAACAACCACAAAAAGCAACAACTCAACATCAATCATAGATAGCTGATAGTGACAAATTAAGCCACCCAGAATTCAAATCCACAAATCAATCAGCTTTGCCACAGCATGGTTGCCTCAAAAATGTCACCAAACTAAATCCACACTGATAACCATAGGTGCATTAACAACATCTAAACGAACGCATACCTTCAGCAACCGAGCATGCACGCGAGCTGCGAACTCCTTCCCGGAGCAACTGTGTGAGCCAAACACGGGGGGCGATGATTACAACGGGCACGTCAACGCACTGGATCTCCGTCCAATTCGAGATGCCTCCTCCCGCATCGTGTCCAGCAGCTCACATCTCGATCTGCTCTGGGGCAGTAGGATGGCGGCAGCAGAGTCGATGTAGGGAAGATTGGCGGGGTTGGCTGTGAGGCAAGGCCGCGGTGGTGACAGGAGCTGGCGGAGTTAGGCCGTCGTGGGGATAAGGGC